CCATCCCCAAACCTGTACCCATCCCAACTCATTCCATTCCATCCCATCCAATCCCATCCCCAAATCTGTGCCCCATTCCATTCCATCCCCATCTCCATCCCATCCCTAAACCTGGCCCCTCCCCTCCCATCCCCATCTCCATCCCCATCCCCACACCTGCACCCATCCCATTCCATCCGTATTCCATCCTAATCCTCATCCCCAAATCTGTGCCCATCCCATCCCCATCCCCATCCCTTCTCATCTCATCCCATCCCATCCCACCCCATTCCCAACCCTACCCCAAAACCACCCCTATCCCCAATCCTGTGTCCAAACCACCCCACCCCACACCTTGCCGTCGCTCTGCCTCTTGCCCAGCTTGGTCTCCTCGGGGTGGTAAAACCACTTCACCTTCACCACCATGTTGCTGCCCCAGGACTCCCACATGCTCTCGATGCGCCCGATGTAGGGCAGGTTGGGCCGCCCGGCCGACAGGAAGACGGCGCAGTCCCCGATGCGCAGCGTCTCCTTGCCCCGCACGATGGCCTTATAGAACAGCTTCCGTGCCTTCCCCTTCATGCCCCGCCGCTGCAAGGAGCACACGGTCAGGGCACTGCACACCCCGACCCCACGCATCCCGCAGCACGCTCCGTCCACCCCATGCACCCACACCGTGCTCACACCCAGCATCCTGCACCCTGCAATGCATCTGCATGCCTGCAGGTTGTGCTTCACGCTCCATGCACTTGCTTGAAGCACCCTGCACCCGTGCATCCTACCCACTGCACTCTGCCCCGTGCACACCCGCAAGACCGTGCCCTGTGCTCCATGTGTTTGCTCAAAGCACTCTGCATCCACACATCCTACCCCGTGCACCACGTTCCATACACCACGCTCATCCTACTCCATCCTTCCGTGCCTTGTTGCACCTACACATCCCGCACCATGCTGCAAGCACTCTGCTCTATGCACCCCCGCATCCAGACATGCATCCACACACCCTGCGCTCACTCTCAGCCATGCACCAAGCGCGCTGCACCACGCTCTCTGCACCCACGCGCCCTACTGTGCAACACACACTGTTCTACACACCCTGCACGCCGCCACACAGCTGTGCACCCCCAGATGCTGCTCTGAGCACCACCACCCCACACACCACAACCCCACACACCACAACCCCACACACCATGCATGCACTCACTCTGAGTGCCCCACTGCTCCGTGCCCACCGGTGCCGACCGTACCTGCGTGGGGTTCCCTGACCACCTCCAGAGCTGGCGCGCGGGCAGGAAGGCGGAGATCTTTGGCCGGTTTTCCACCGAGGGCAGCCGCTGCCTCCGGGAGAACTCTTTGGCTTTGGAGAAGCTGAGGGCCTCCTTGCGCTTGAGCTTGGCCTTGGGGCCGGCGGCAGCCGCCTTGGTGAGGAAGCAGCGCTGCGGCGCGGAGCCTTTGGAGCGCAGAGCCTCGGGCTGTGCCAGCAGCGCCGGCACCGGGTGCGAGAGGCAGGTCTGCAGCAGCAGAGCCGAGTCCTCGTCCTCCGAGCTGTACGACGAGTCCTCGTTGTCGGAGGAGCAGAGGCTGGAGGTGGAGATGGAGCCGGAGCTGGAGGAGGTGGAGGAGCCCGAGGAAGAGGACGACACTGACAGGCGGGTCATGAAGCGCGAGGGCACGTCGGCACCCAGCCCGCCCGCATCCTCCTCCTCATCCATGTCCGAGTAGGAGCTGTGGCAGTCGCTGTCGCAGTTCAGGCTGAACTCGGCCTGACCCGAGTACTTCCGCAGCGCCAGCCCCACGGGCAGCGGGTGCACGGCCGCCCTCCCCTTCCTCTCCTTGCCCAGCGCCGAGTGCGCGTAGCTGCTGGCCAGCGGCCGCTCCAGCTTGGCCCCAAAGTCCTTCTCGCCCAGAAGCAGGGCCTTGCAGTTCTTGTTCTTGGGGGACGTCACCCCTTCGTGGTCCAGCTTCACCAGGAACTCGCCGCCAGCCCTGCGCCGGCTGCCTTTGCCCATCTCAGCCTCCAGCCGCTCCGCCTTCTTGCAGCGCAGCAGCTTCTGTGCAGCTGGCAGCACCAGCCCGGCGCCGGCTCCGAAGGACGCGTAGGAGCTGGCGATGCGGCTGAACGAGTCGGCCCCGAAGCCGTTGCCGAAGACGGGAGCGGCGACGTGGTGGTGCACGGGGAACAGGGCCTCCTTGGCACGCAGCTTCTTGGTGCTGCCGTTCACCTGGAAGAGGTTCTGCAGCACGGCCGTGCCTTTGCTCGCCGCCTTCCGCTTCGTCTGCGCCACCGCCGACCAGCTGAGCAGAGGGCCGCCCCGCCGCCCCAGCGGCTCCCCCAGCGCCGGCGCACGGCTGCCCGACAGCAGCTCCAGGGCTTTGCCTGCGGGAGGACAGCGGTCACAGCCTCACTTCCGTACCGCATCCCCTCCTCCTGCATCACTGCCTCTCCTCCCCATGCCTGCATCTTTCCCTGCCTCCCCTCTCCCTGCCCGCATCCCTGACTCCCGCTAACCTTCCCATCTGCGTTCCCTCCTTCCCTGCGTCCCTCCTCCATGCCCGCATCCTTGCATCCCCTCTCTGTTCTTCTCCTTTCTATGCCTGCATCCCCTTTCCCTGCATCCTTCCATTTCCCCCCCATGCCCACCTCCCCATATCCCCTCTCCCTGTCTTCTCCCATCCTCCACGCCACCAACCTCACACCTTCCTCTATCCCCCCGCACCCTACCAACTCCGACACGCTGCCCCACGTCTGCACCTCTGCCCCTCCCCACCCCCCACAACATCCCCTCCCTCACTGTCGCTAACGCCCAGCCACCCCATACTTATACCCCCACCCCATACCGCTTTTCTCCTTGCAGATCGCCTTCTTGCCCGAACTCCTGGGGCCCTTGGGGCCATCGTGCCTCTCGGTGCACAATCCGGGGGGCAGCTCACCAGGGGAAGCCACATCGCCACAGGAGCGCTTGTTCCGCCGGCACGAGCTGGACACCAGCAGTGCAGGGGACGGTTCTGTGCCTGCGGGCAGAGCGGGGCTCAGCGCCGTCCCCACGCCCCCATCCACCATCCCCATCCCATCCCTGTCCCACTCACACTGGATCTTGAAGTCAGGTGGCAGCAGACGGATGTTGGACACGGCGATGTGCCCCGTGTCCCCATCATCGAACTCCACCATCACCGCCTCGGGGTCGTCCTCCTCCTCGTCGCTGGAGGAGCCTGCGGCAGGGCAGGACGTGGGGCTGGGGCTGGACGGGGCCGTGTCCCCCACCCCGCTGCTGCCTCCACCACCCCTCACCTTGCACCACGTTCCCTGGGTACAGGCAGCGTGACTTCTGGCTCCAGTAGGCGCAGACGCGGGTGCCGGGAGGAAGGCTGCGCCGTGACTGTGGCCGCACGTCCAGGACCTGCGGGCAGCACCGGGCTGTGTGAGCCCTGTCCCCGTCCCCATCCTTGTCCCCATTGCCATTCCCCCATCACCATCCCTTTAGCTACTGGCTGGACCTGAAGAGGTCAGACATATGCACTAGGCGAACTTCGAAGGTTTCTTTCAATGGGATCATTCCTTTCCATGCTGTGCCATTCCATTCCATCCTATCCCATGCCATTCCAAGCGATTCCACATCCATATCCTTGTCCCTGTCACCAATCCTATCTCCATCCCCGTCCCCTTTCCATCTCCATCCCCATCCCATCCCATCTCCATTCCTATCCCATCCCCATCCCCATCCCCATCCCCATCCCCATCCCCACTCACTGCCTCCTGCAGCAGCTGTTCCTGTGAGTAGATGCGCTGCCGGTTCCCCCTCTCACCCTCGATGATGATGCTGTATCTGGGGACATGGCGGTGACAGAAGGGTTCAGCACTGCCACCCCACACCCCACAGCTCTCCACCCCGCAGCCCCTGGCCCCACTCACATGTCGGGGGGCTGGATGGTGCGCACGCTGCCAGCATACAGCAGGCTGTCTTCCTTGGGGATGAGGATGTGCAGCCCATCCCGCAGGTCCTCCTTCTGGATGGCGCAGGTGTGGGGTGGGGGGGAGCGGCGCCCACCTGCACTGCCCTCCTCCTCCTCCTCTGAGAAGCTGCTGTTGTCATCGAAGTCGAAGTCGTCCTCCACGGTGAAGCTCTCCAGCAGCTTGCTGACCGCCCGGCCCTTGCACTGTGGGACGGGAGCTCAGTGTGGGTGGGGGACACGGGTGTGGGGGCACGCTGTTTGTGGGGGCTGCTTACCTGCTTGCTGGCCACTTTGCTCTTCACCTTGCCCAGCTTCTTGCCCTTGCTCAGGATGGTTTTGGCACTCCGGGGTGAGAGGGCCAGCGAAAGGGCCCCGTTCTTCCGCTGCAGCGTGGGGACAGAAGGCTCAGACCCATTGGGAAGGGTCCCAGCACTCAGCCCTACCCCCACAGTGCCACCTGTGCCCCACTGACACATGCATCCCATGCAAGCCCCACGCCCTGCGGTCCCTTTGCCATCCCCAACAGCACTGACACCCAATGGCCCCCAGCTCCCCCCAGCCTTGCACTCACCCGCAGTGCTGACTGCAGCACTTTGCTCTTGCGTGTGGCCTTCTTGAGCCGCTCACTGGCCAGCCGTGCGCCGTCCTCCCTCGCCCCAAAGTGCCGGGGGTCCGCAGCACCAAACAGGCTGCAGGCAGAGGGGGGGGCGGAGGAGCTGGGGCCGCCGCTTACAGCCGCCCGGAGGCTTTCTTTGGGTTTTGCCTTCAGCTTCTTCTTGCTGCTCCCCTCCTCACAGCTGCCCGCTTTGCGCCGTGCCGGCACCTTCTCCAGCTTGCCAGCACCCGGTTTGCCTGGCCGCCGCTTGATCTTCACCTCGCCCTCAGGGCTGCCCAGGCGGCACGGTCCTGGGGGCATGGGGGGGACAGGAATCAGCTCCCTCTGGCACATCACTCAGGGGTCCCCCAAACCCCATCCTCCCCAAGTCCTGTTACCTAGCAGCCCCTGCCTTTCCTTCTTCTTCTTCGCCTTCTCGTTGGCCTCCATCTTCACCACAGAGGACGGGGAGGGCCCCAGCACAGCCATGGGCACCGAGGGCAGCAGAGCCAGGTCAGGCTCCTCATCGCCATCATCGCTGTCTGAGTCCTCGTTGTGCCCATCTGCACGGTGGGGGGACAGGGCTGAGGGACCCCTTGTGCCTTGCGGTGGCCCCAAGCACCCCCTGTGCTGGGCAGGGTGAGAGGGGGGTCCCAGTCTTTGGGGGTACCCGGGTACAAGCGGTCCCTGAGCTGTGTGCGCAGCCACCATGTAGCATCAGACCCCCACTGCAACAGACCCTGGATTGCAGCACTCCTATCCCCTTGCTCCATGCAGCCTCTCCATGCTGTGCAGCTCATTGCACGCCCCCAGCCCTATGTGGGACCCCCCAAGTAATGCAGGATCCCCTTCAGCCCTATGCTAGACGCCTCCAGCCCCACACGGGGCCATCCCCGCTCCATGCCCCAGCCCCATGCCATATTCCTCCAGGCCCAAGAGGGACCCCCTCAGCCCCACATAGGACCCCCCCAACTCCATGCAGGACCTCCTCAGCCCCATGTGAGACGTTCCCAGCCTCATGTGACACAGTCCCAGTCCCATGCAGGACCCCCATCCCTGTCCTTACCTTTGAAGCCAGGGATCTCACAGGGGTCAGGCTCCTGGGGCTGGTACTTGGCTGTGCCCTTGGAGCTCTTGGGGCGGGACAGCTTCTTCTGGATGCGGCTGCCAGGGTTGGGCTCTTTCCTTCGGAAGGGGCTGATGCCAGCAGGGAGCCCTTTGCTCTTCACTTTCTGCTTCAGCTGCGACACTTTGTGAGCCACCTTACAGGCCAGCTTGCTCTGCGCGCTGCTCTTCTTGCACCTCACCTTCTCCTGCAGAAGAAGTGAACAGGAACGCTCAGGATGGGCAGCAGCCCCTCACCCCGCAGAGCCCGGCCCCGCAGCGGGGTGCACTCACCGCAGCCCCCGCCATGGCTCCGTACTGCTGCTCCAGTTTGCTGCGTTTCTTCTTGGGCTGGGGCTCAGCGCGCAGCTCGGCACACAGCAGGGACAGGCTGCTCTGCACCGCCCTGCAGGAGCGCGCCGTGGGCACCCACCGTCCCCCCTCGACCCACACACCCCTCCTATTTTTCCTCCCCCCCGCAACCTTCACTCTCTTAAATGTTTTGTGACATAAAACCTCCAGATTAAATTTTTTTTTTTTTTTTTCCTCTGTCTTAATTGAAGGAACCATTTAGTGCAGATTTAACTATTATTACCAAATCATCGGGCCTGATGCCGCGCGCGCACACACACTCCAATCGTGTTTGGACTAGCTCGGAGGATTTATGCAAATGGGCCTGTCGGGAGAGGCAATTTGTAGCAGAGAAGGACAATTATACAGGGCCCGTGAGTGTGAAAACGACTGCGCCGGGCGGCTAATGGATAATAATAAAGCGCCGGCAGCAATGAACACCACTGCAGCGTGACCAATGACTTTATACAGCGCAGATAAAGAGGCTTTTATGCAACGCTGCTCCCACGTCCGGGCGGGGGGAGGCCCCAAGATGGAGACCCCTGCAGCCGGGGACGGCCCCACCACCCCATCATAGGGTCGGTCCCCTCTGTCCCCAGCGCGGGGACAGGCGGGCGCGCACCCCCCGCTCACTCACTTGACCTTGCGGCTCTCGGCCCGGCCCAGCGTGCTGCAGTGCTTGCGCTTCCTCGGCCGCCCCGGCCCGCGCCGTGCTGGGCTCCGTGAGCTCTCGTCGCGCCTGCAGTCGCGGGGCGAAACCGGAGGCAGCCTGAGCCGGGCTGAGTACGGCCAGAGCTCAGTGCACCGATGGGCGCCGCCCGCACGATGCTCAGCGCGGCCTCGAACTCACTGCGCTCGTGGGTGCCACCCCGAGTGATGCCACGGGGCTGAGAACGGCCCCCAACTCATCACACCGCTGAGCACCAGCCGTGATACCACCGGGCTGAGCACAGCCCTGAGAACTCATTGCACTGCTAAGTGCTGCCCTTGCAATGTCGCCAGGCTGAGCACAGCCCTGAACTCATCGCGCCGCTGAGGGCTGTGCTTTGATGCCGTTGGGCTGAGCACTGACAACCACGCAGCCCCCAGCCCCAACCTCAGGGCTGCAGCCCCCCCGTGGGATAGGGACAGGGATGAGGACCTACTCGTGGTCATGCCGCCGCTGCAGCTTCACCAGCTCACGCTGCTTCTCCTTGTAGCGCCGCTGCAGCTCAGCCAGCCGCATCCGCACCTCCACCTCCTGAGTGTTGAGCTGCTCGATGGCCGCCTTCAGCGGGCACACCTGGGGATGGGGACACGGCCATTCACCCCGGGCACGGCTCACCCAGCACGGCACAGTGGTGTGGGGCGGGGGGACGCTCACTCACCGCCTTGGTTTTGGGGGTCCAGGTGTACTTGCGGCGCGGCACGCGGGCACGGGGCGGCGGGGAGGTGGGCAGGGGGCTGAGTGCCGGGGGGCTGCCCTCCCGACTGGCCGCCTCCACCAGCGACCAGGCGGCTGCCACCGTGGCCAGATTCTGTAGGTTGAAGGCCAGCAGATCCTCGTCCTCCCCTGCCGAGAGCTGAGGTCAGCGGGGATGCACCAGGACGCCTCTGTTCCATCCCAGCGCACGCTGCACTGGAGCAGCACCGACCACACATGTGGGGGCAGCACCCATGGGTGGGCTTAGGGAGCATTCCCAGGAGTTTGGGGATCTGGGAGCATGCAGGGCACACAGGGGTCTGTGGGGTACGGGGTGCTGCATGCACACACTGCCACAGCACATCCACAAAGCACGGGGATGGCACAAAGGGCGCAGTGTGTCCCCAGAGTGCTGCACGGATGGGTGCATGGCAGCAGCCAGCGATGAACTCATCAGTGTACAGAGCCAAAGCCAGGGTGGGGAGGGACACAGTGATGCCATCTGTGGGAGGGGGGATCAGTGGGGACTCCATGGCCCCCACACACAGACCCACAGCCCTATAGCAAGGTACAGCCAGCACGGAGCACGCAGGGCCCCACGGCCGCCCGCTCGCTGCAGAGGCGCTGGGGAGGTGCCAGGGCCTTCCCTGCAGGGGCCCCTGGGATTCCCTGGGGAAGCCGAGCTGGGAGGGAATCCCGGCGCCTGTCTGGAGCCAGCGCTGGAGCAGAGCCCCAAAGACGGACCCGAGCTGTGAGCAGGGCCCTGCTGCTGGGCACCGTGCTGCTGCAGCACACCACAAAAGGTACATGCAGCCCTGCGCAGCAAAGACGTGATTCAAACACGCACAAAGCCCTGAGCTGCAGACAGTGCAAGCCTGCAAAAAGCCCTGCGCTGCAAATGTACAGGGAAACACACGCAGCAGGCTGTGCTGCAAACATACAGATCATGCACACACAAGCTCCGCCGTGGAAACATGCACATGGTCCTGCTCTGCAAATACGTGCGTGGTGCTGCACTGTGAGCACGCACAGCTCGTGCATGCAGCGCTGCGCTGTGAAAGCACACAAAGCCCTGCACTGCCAGCACGGCATTCACATGGCCCTGTGCTGTGAATGCACACTGTGAGTGTGCACACAGCCCCTCCTCTGCTGCACAGCACGCAATTTGCCCAGCACAACCCTGCACACACGCTGCAGCCCCTCCACTGCACGACTTCTGCATTGCATGCACCGCACAGAGAATCCCTGGGAGGCACCGAGGGGCACAGCAATGGGGATGGAGCACAGCAATAGGGAAGGGGCACAGCAATGGGGAGGGGGCAAAGCAATGGGGAGAGGGCACAGCAACGGGGAGGGGGCACACGGAGCTGCTCACCTTCCACAGCCGAGTCACAGCGGCGTTGGCGCAGCTCCAGTTCGGCCAGCTCGCTGAGCAGCGCGATGCCAGGCAGTCCCACAGTGCAGGGTGCAGGAGAAGGAGGTGCTGGGGGGGGCTCCCCGGGGGACCCCAGCGCTGGCAGCTCCCCCAGGTCGATGCCGGCGGCGATGAGAGCCTCCAGCCCTCCTGTGCAGCACTGCTGCCTGCTGGGTGCACGGTTGGGGCCCTCGCTCTCCTCCTCCTCATCACAGCTGCCCTCCGGCCCTGAGCCTTCGCTGTCGCCTTCTTCCTCTTCTTCATCCTCCTCCTCCTCCTCTTCCTCCTCGCCATCCGGGGGGCCCAGCGGGGAGGATCCCTCCGTGGGCACCGGGTGCTGCTGCTCTACAGAGCTCTGCTCCAACACCGCTGCCGTTTCCCTGCACGCACCAAAGTTCTCCTCTCCAGGCACAGCGCCCGACGCTGCAGCCAGCAGCAGGTGGTGCCGGTGCAGCACGGCACCCGGACCCTCGGCTGCAGCCCCCGTGGATGGCAGCTCCCGCGCAGCGACGGGCTCCTGGGCCGGGCTGAAGGTCCGTGACTGCTCGGGCTCAGCTGGTGGGGAGCCCGCCTGCATGGTGTCGGGGTCGGCGGGCTCGGCGGGGGGCACCTCCGGGAAGCCCATGCTGGACGCGGGGTAGCTGTACCCTGGGGGCAGGTCTGCGGGGAGCAAGCGATGCTCAGTGTAGCTCGGCGCCCATCCCCACCTCCTCCTCCTCCTCACTGCCGTGCCCCTACCTGGCTCCAGGGACTTGGGGTAGTCACGGGGCGGCTGTCCCTCCCCACGCTTGTCCTCGCCGTCGCTGCCCTTGCTCTGCACGGGGACGGGGCTGTCAGCCGGGGAGCGCGGGGCCACGGCAGAGCTGGCAGTGGGGCAGACGGGTAAAGTGCAGGGGGCCGTGGGAAGCGCCACGGGGCACTTGGCCGGGTGCCGCAGGGCTGGGGAGTGGCAGCAAGGGGACAGCTTGGGAGGCCCAGGTGCAGCCGACGACATGCCCTTGGCCGGGGGGTTTAAGGCAACTGCTTTGTGAGAGGGCTTGAGGGGCTTCTCGGGACCCACGTTCTCCAGTTCCAGGGGCTGCTCCTCCGGCTTGCGCTGCGGGGAATGAGGTCAGCATGTGTCCCTGCATCCCACCCAGCGGCATCCCGCCTCACCATCCCAGCCCTGTGTCCCACCCCAACGCAGCCCCCACGCATCCCCACGTCCCCGTGGCACCTGGACGTGAGCCTGGCGCTGGATCTCGAGAGCCTGGGCCGCCCGCTGCTGCTGCAGGGCGTAGAGCTCCTGCTGTCGCAGGAACTGGGAGCGTGAGTACACAGGCAGCTGCCCCGTGTGCTGCAGGTGGGCGCCGGGACCCCGGCCTGGGTACATGGGGGGCCACAGTGACGCCTGGTCCATCACGTCAGCTGCAAGCAATGGTGGAGGGAGGAGGAGTCAACCGTGGGCCCAAGAGAGGGTCATCCTGCAGACCCCAGAGGTGCATTCCCTCTCACCCTGCACCCACAGGGACCCCCCCATCTTCCACCCTTGCACCACAGCTGCACCCGCATGGACTTCCCCATTGTCAATCCCTGCACCTCCCCCAGCACAGATGAGGACGTGGAATGGGGTCATCCTGCAGGTCCTAAACGCACACCCCTGGAATCCCATCACTCGCCCCTGCACCCCCAGCATCACCCCAAGGCCCCCCCCCAAGAACAAAGTGAGGATGCCCCACAGTCACCCCCCACACCCACCAGCCTCACCCAGCGTGTGGGGGGTGCCGTGGGCGGGGGGCTCGGTGGGCAGGATGACGAGCTGGGTGGGGGGCTCCTGGGAGAGGGGGAAGACAGGCTGCATGGTGCTGGGCATGGAGGTGGGGAAGGCGGGTGGCAGGTTCTGGTGCAGCGCGGGGTGGCCAATGCCTGGGGAAGGGGGAGAGGGGCAAAAGGGGGCTGTCAGCAGTGGGGTGAGGGGGGCGGCCCCATGCTCCCGTGTCCCCCCTGTGGCACCGACCGTAGGAGTGCCCCCCCATCCAGATGGAGGGGCTGCGGGTGCGGGGCAGCCAATGCGTGTGCGCTGGGTGTGCGTGGGCAGCCGGGTCCCCCCCGAGCTGCCCTGCTGGCAGCGAGGAGCCCCCGGCCATCATCAGGTGGGGGGTGAGGTCTCCGGGACAACCCCCCGAGGGGTGCATCCGTGCAAACTCCACCAGCTCCTTGTTGTCCCTGCGGGGAGAAACAGACCTCGGTGGCACATGGCACCTAACGGCACCGTGCCACGCTCAAGTGGGTGACACTGTAAAGGAGCCCCGTTCCCATCCCCCCCGGCGTGGCACTCACTGGAGCAGCAGCTCTCGTCCCGGCAGCCCCAGGCGCTCCTCGCAGAGCCGTCCCCTCTCCTCCTCTGCCTCCAGGTCGATGACGTGCATGGGCCGCGTGGTGCCGGCTGTGAGAAGACAGAGAGATGAGCACGGCCCCAAAGGGACCCCCAGCCCCCGCCATCCCCAGCCCTTACCTTTGATGCCAGCAGCCGTCCTACCCTGCCGGCCGGACCCGCTGCCATAGGAAGGCTCAGGACGGCTCAGCGTATCCTTCTGCCGTGCCACGGCCACGGCAATGCCCACCGGTGGCTGCCGCACCTCCCCCTCGCCGTGCCCCAGCTCGTGCTCACGGCTTCGGGCGCAGTCCGGCAGCTCCGGCTGCCCCTTGGCCGGGGGGGGGAACTTGGCATCCTGGTGGGCGCAGCTGCCCTTGATGCCGCCCAGCCCCACGAAGGGAGCGGCCTTCTGACCCACGATAAGTGCTTGGTTGCTGTACTTGAGGAGGTTCTTCATGGCCGAGACCTCATCCGGGGGGGTGGGCATATCTTGGCTCAGCACCGAGCCCTGAGTCATCAGTGCAGCCTGCTGCAGACCCGTGCCAAAGGGGTCCAGGTAGGAACCCTTCCTCTCCTCCGCCATGCCCATGGGGGGGCCCTGGCCCTGCACGCCCCAGGGGGGCAGGGGGGGTGCGGTGTAGCCCAGCGAGTTCAGCTCCAGAGCTTTGCGCTGACCCTCGGACTGTTCCGCCTCGGCGCCGGTGCCGTGCTGCTGGTGCCGGATCCGCGCCACCTTCTGCGGGGGGGGCTCCTTGGGGCCCTTCTCTAAAGTGCAGCAGGAGGGGCCCAGCTTGGCGCCCAGCGGCTCGCCGTGGTGCGGGGCGCGGGCGCAGTCGGGGGCAGGCGGCACCTCGAAGTACCCCTTCTCCAGGGCGCCCTTGGGTGGGGGGCCGAGGGCAGCATAGGGGGTCCCCTCGGCCGCCCCCCCGCCCCCGCCCCCCAGGTACTCCAAGCCCTTCAGCCGCGCGCCGGGGCCGCCCCACTCCATCCTGCGCTCGGCTTTGCCCTCAGCTTTGCCGTGGTGGAACGCAGCCCCGTAGGCAGCGCCGGGGTTCTCGGCGTCGCCGTGCCGCTCCTTGCCCTCGGCGCGCTCCATCCCGCAGCCCTCGGCCGCCACCTGGAAGGAGCGGCTCTTGTCCGTCAGGTGTCCCACCGAAGGCACGAAGGTGGCACCGCTCAGCTTCAGCTCCCGCCCGCCCTTCTCCGGCAGCGGGCACAGCACGTCGGGGCCGGCGTGCAGCTGCAGACAGGGGAAGGAACCGGCGGCGGCGGCGCCGAGCGGGGCCGGACCAGCGGGCACAGCGTAGGACACGGCGTGGTGCAGCATCTGCCGCCGCTCCAGGCACTCTCCGTACGCCGGGGGGGCTTCGGGGGCGGCGGGCTCACGGCACGGCTCCTTGGCGCAGCGCACGGCGCGGGGCAGAGCGCTGCCGGCACAGCTGGGCAGCGCGGCGCGGCCGTCGCCCTCCAGCCCCTTGGCACCCAGCAGGCAGGAGGGCAGGTGCTTGGCGCCCGCCCGGGGGGGCAGCCCCTCCTTGCAGTGCCCCTCGGGCGGCACCGGCAGCACGGCGCGGTGCCGCTCCTTGCCATCGTCCTCCGGCACCCGTTCCTTGCCGTCCGCTTTGCTCGCCTTCTCCTTGGCCGCCAGGAAGCGGTCGTAGTCCTTGGGGGTCTTGGGCAGGGGGCCGGCGTCGCGCTCGCGGCTGCAGGAGCCGGCGGGGGGGCCGGGGGCGGCGCGGGCGATGCCGGGGAAGCCGTGGCCGGCGGGGAGCAGGGCGGGCTGGGCGGGCAGGTTGCGCAGGTAGAAGTTATCTGTGGGGCGAGGGGAGCGGGTCAGCCCCTCCGGGACAACGCGGTGCGAGCGTCCGCGGCCGTGCCAGCGCCCCGCTAACGAGAGGAGGAGCGCGGGGAAAGGCACGGCCTAATTAGCTCCATTACCCACCCAAACAATGCTCCCTATTAAGCGCCCGCCACAATATTTTGAAAAGCGAGAGTGGCAGCTGGGACGGCTGCCCACCACCCTGCACCCACGGCTCTGCTCCATCCCGGGCACACGGCACCTGCTCCAGCAACAGCCCTCTGGGGGCACCCAGGGATGGGCACCGCGTCCCTGCACACAGCACTGTGTCCTGCAGCCCCCACGCTCCAGGATGAATCACCCACAGACACCACAGTGCCATCCCTAGTGCCACCCTGGTACCTGCCTTTCTGGCTCTCATAGAAGCGGTGCTGGCTGTAGAGGACGTTGCTGTTCCCGTGGTGGTCCAGGTGGCTCATGGGCAGGAAGGTGGATGCCAGGCTCCCGGAGAAGCGGGGGTACCCCGGTGCTGTGGGGGGTGCGGCGGTCAGGGGGCCGCTTGCTGCACGGTGCCACCCATCGTGATGCACACACATGTGCACCTCTCCGTGCACGCTCTGCCCTCACCTCGCCACGCAGGGGCCGTGACCCCATCCCAATATACACCCCCTGCTCAGGGCAGCCCGGCACAGCGTGGAACTCCCCAACCCGGCCGAGCCGTCCGTCAGCCGCGTGTGCTGCCCGGTCCCCCCCCGGCCCCCCCTGTGCGGCACGCAGGCCCCGGCACGCCGGCAGCCAGCTGGCAGCCGCTCAAACTACCAGCTGGGCTGGGAGCCAGGGCCCTGCGCCAGCACCACCGCCCCACGCCTTAACTCTGTCGGCCCCCGCTCAGGTGGGGCCGGGGCAACGGCGTGCCGGGGGGGCACCGCAGGGCTGCTCCCTCCCACCGCAGCCCCGATGAACCGCAGCTGCAGCTCATCAAGGCACAGCGGTGGTTCCCATCATCCCAGCTCTCCACTGCACATGCAGCACCCAGGGGTCCCGCAGCACCTCCAGCATCCAAGTGCACCCCCAGACTCAGCACCACAGAGTGCCCTCCGGTGCCATGAGCTGCCCGGCCTCCAGCCCAGCTCTGCGCACAGTGCCGGGGGACAGCATCTTCATCTGCAGCCCCACGACACCCCCAGCATGCAGCACACCAAGCTTTGTCCTATCCTGGGAGGGGGTCTGTGGGGCGTGCTCCCCTCTGCACAGCTCACTCACCTTCGTGGGAGTGTGAGAACCAGATCTGGGAGGTGCCGGAGTGCGGCCCGCGGAAAGCCGGCTCTGGGGGGGAGGCGGTGGGGCCCGAGGGGTGGCTGGGGGCCCCCGAGCCCAGGCTGCCACTCAGGAAGCTCCCCATGAAGGACGAGGCGGGTGCACTCCCCATCAGTCCGCTCCCTGCTGCGGGGTGAGAGAAGACAGTCAGGGGGTGCCCTGAGCCATGCCTTGCAGCCACATCCTCAGCTCCCGCTGTGCTGGTACAGTCACTCACCCCCTGCGCTTGCACAGCTGTGCACAGACACCTGTTGTAGGGCCGCGTGTGTGCAGCATCCCTTGTGCACGCACACTGCTTGTGCACACACACATCTCGTGCACACACACTTGACCACACATCTCCCCGCTGTGACTGCACGAGGAGCGCCCATGCCCTGCCCCTGTGTGCGCATCCCACACACATGCGTGCAGCTCCCCGTGACCCCAGCACCGAACTGCTGTGGGCAACCCCTTGCTGTGCCATGCTGTGCCAAGCCAGACAGATGGGGTACACGGAACCATGCTGCTCCCAGTGGGGCAGCTGCCAGCCGCAGCAGTCGGAGCGCAGCCAGTGCCCAGGAGGCGGTGACACAAAGGCTGGGGACATGGGGACAGCCGCCTGCGACCAGAGCACGGCTCCCTGGAGCAACGCTGGTGCATCAGGCACTGCTTTGTCAGTGTGCATGTGTGTGTCCACGCACACGTGTGCAGGAAGGTCAGCACAGCAGAGGACGGGGAGGGCAGAGGGCAGCCTCCGCCCTGCGGCCTGGGGGGCACCGAGCACCCCGCCGGGACACCCCTGCCCCGCTCCTCGGGCCAAGCTGTGAGGTCATGGTGGAAACATCGCAGCCGGTAGCCAGCAGCCCCTCCACGCTTGGCCCTGCTCCTGCCTGCATGTGTTTGCCGACGTGGGCTGGCGGGGCCGTGGCCGCTCGGCCCTTCCCTGGCTCGGCACGGCTCGGCACGGCTCGGCACAGAGGACCGGTGCTGGCCGCCCGCCCGGCCGGTGCAGGAAGTGATGCTTTGCTTTCTAAGCCTGCCCACGCTCCCCGGCTAATCCCGCCGGGATGCCTCTGGGATGAGTGTCGGGGATGTGGTTTCAGGCAGCTCGCTCCTTCCTGCGCCGGCCGTCGGGGCCGCGTGGGTCGGGGGCACGGCCGCAGCCCGCTGTGGCCCTGGGAACGGCCCCCACGCCTGGGTCGGGACGCGGCACGGCGGTGACGGAGCAGAGGGACCGTGGTGCGGAGCTGGGAACGGCGACGCAGTGAGCTCGGCAGGAAGCCGAGGGTTCCAGAAGGAGCCTCTTCTGGAAGCTGTGAAACAGGCTGTGAAAAACACACAGCACACACACGGGGCCGGAGCGCACCCTCCCTGCGCGTCCCACCCATGACTCACGCCCCCTGGCACGGATGGGTCCCCAGGCGCATGCAGGCCCCCACGTTCCCACCCCGCTCGCACGCTCGGCTCTGCTCGAAGCCCTTCCCACGGCCTCGGCTCTCCCAGTGCGGGGCTGTGGGATGAAAGGCTGCTGAGGCCGTGCAGAACTCATCTCACCCCACAGCCACGCAGTACAAGGCGGTGCCATCCCACAGCCCCACAGCCGGGAACTCCCTGGCATCGCTGCCCGTACCCCGAGGCCAGCGCCGTGACTCAGCCCTGCAGGCACCGCTCTCGGCTCTGCACCAGCACCAAACTCCCCACGCTGACAGCCAGCAGGGCCAGGATTCAGGGCACAGCTGTGGGGTTATCCCCGGTGTGCCCGCATCCGTGCCAACCACGGCACAGCACACAGCCGCTCGTGTCCCACTGCCACTGCAGCATGAGCAGGGAAACTGAGGCACAGTGGGGACATACAGCCGGATTTGGGATCCCCCAATCGAGGCTGGACTGGACAGAGGAAAGGGTTAAAAGCGGAACTCACCGCACTGCATTCTGATCCCCGTTCTGATCCCCGGCCAAACCGCGGGGGCTGGGAAGCCCGGGGGGAGCGTGGGGGCTTTTCTGCAGGACAGCCCCAAGCCATCACTGGGGTCACCGCAGCACCGAGCGCACCCGGCCTCAGCACGACCCGCAGGGACGGGCAGCGGGGGGTCAGGAAGGGTGTGAGCTCCCCCAGCGCCACGCTTCGCCCCCGCGCCCGGCGCAGATGGGAATGTGTTGGGAAGACAGAAAAGTTTCCCCTGGTGCTGAGCGGGGCCGCAGGAGCACTCCGGCCACATCTGCTCCGGCCGAGCTGCTTGCTGGGCGCCCGCCCAGAGCGGGGCGCGGGGCCACAGGCACACAACCAAAGCAGCACTGCCGGGAAAGGGAGGGGGTCCCCGGCCGTGCTCCCACACAGCATCCCTCCCTTCTTCCCTCCCTCCCTCTCTGGGAAGGCCCCGGCTTTTCCCACGCCCCACTGCTTCCAACCTCACCAAGGCACGGGGGTCACGCACACCATGCCCCTGTACAAGGGTCAGCCCCTCCAGCCCCCCTCGGGACGCAGCGGGGGCACAAGGACACAGGGCTGGAAGAGGGGCACTGCCCCCAGGATGCTGTCACCGCGGTGTCCCCGGGGCTGCCCCGCGTGCACGGCTGCGACGTGCGCACCCCGTGGGGTTGGGTTACTCCCTCGGCTATTTCAGGGCTGGAACATTCCTAGCGGGGCCGTGGCTGGGGCTGCATGCCAAGACGTGGGGCTGGACGGGACCCCCCCCTACTGGGGTCACCAGGACAGCACACACGGGACGTGGCACATGAGGCTGAGGGCACAGCAGAGTCCTGGACCCCTCTCTGGGGACACCCCCCCTGCACGGCCCCCTCCTCATCCCAGCACGATGACAACACGGCGGTCATTAATAACCCCACGTCTGCCAGACAGCCCTGGAGGTGCCACTCCCAGCCCTGGGAGGTGCTGGGGATGCCCCCCCACACACACATTGCGCTCCCCTCCGTGCAAAGCGCGTTTTAACCCAACGTGGCCCCTTTAAATATTTGGCAAATAGCAAATAAGTGTAATATAATTTCCCCGCCGTTATAATTTAAGATTAATCCATATTGTTATGGCACTAAATAAATGCTGTAATATTGAAACGCCGTTCAAATTAGCTTGACAGAGTGCCAGAAGTACAATTAAAATGTTATCCGATGGGTAATCACAAGGCAGTCTCTCCGTGCTAAGTGCCACTTGCAATCTGTCGTCTTTTGACGGAGGGAAGGGGAGGACGGAGCAGAGCAGGGGCTGCACGCTGGCTCGCCGTGTCGGCGCACGCTGCTCCATGCACGCCGCTCACGAGGACGGTGCACACTCCTTGCACGACTGAAGCACGCTGCACGCTCAGCACGCCGCTCGGCACACGGCCGTTGCACACTGTGTACCCCCCATTGCTGGAGAGGCCATTTGGGGAGCAGTTCCGTGCCCTACAATAGGATGGGGCTGCGGGGAAGCCGGGAAGGTGAGGGGCTGTCCGTCCCCCCGCTCAGCCCTATTCACCCCATGCAAATCCCCTCGTGCAAAGCGTTAGCAAATCTCACCCTGTGCATGCAGGCAAAAAAGCAGAGGCAAAGGCAGCAAAGCTCTGCACCCCTCCCATGGGTCGCTGCCGGGCCCTGGGGGTCCCAGCAGGGCTGAGTGCTGCCGGTGCCGGGGTTGGAGACGCAGCTCCGTGCCCATCTGTTTCGTTTTACGGAGCGGATAAAGAAGAACTCCAAGAATGAGATTATTGGGTGAGTGTTTATTTACCCGCTATCGCGGGCAGGAGGGAGGGGCCGCAGTTCAAAGCCCGTGCGAATCTTTGCAAAGTCACTCCATCGCCAAATCTGCTATTTTTACGTCCCGCTAGCACTGCCCGCTCGGCTGTCGGCACGGGGACACGGAGCGGCTGCATGGGGAGGGGGCGGGCAGAAGGATCTGAGGGGTTGGGGGGAACTGCAGCCCCCGGCCCTCCCTCTGGGCTCAGCCCTGAGCCCCCAGTGCTGCCCCCGGGCCCCCCCAGCCCACGCCACAGGGTCACCGCCTGAGCGCTGGAGGACAAAGGAGGGATGGGGGGGGAGGACATGCAGCCACTCCCCCCCACCCCGATAGATCCCAATCCCAACCCGTGCACAGACGGACCCACACCAGCACGATTCCACGAGATTCGGGTTTCTCAGCATCCTGCTTTCCTTCTCCCCGACACATGTGCGCTCTCCACCCCCCCAGCCCCGCAGTAATCTTCCGCAGAAGTGTCACTAATAAGGAGTAGACAAGTTAATCTCAAAATCTGTTTTAACTTTGACACCTACTTTTCAGAACGCGGAGCAATCCCAGCACCGCAGCCCCCACGGCCCCGGATAGCTCCAAGCCCAGCTCCAGGCGAACCCCCTTAAAACCCCCATTGCGGGGCCACAAGGCCAAGCAGGAGCCCCCCCATCCCCACCTGTTTTAGGGCCCAGCAGCGTTCGGCCAGAACCCGGAATGCAGCGCACAGCTGCGCGGAGGAGAGCGCAGCACCGGGGCTGCAAACTGCACGGAGGCACCGAGGTGCAAAACAGCAGCGGGGTGCAAAGCGGGAGAAGGTTGCAAAGCAGCAGCGGGGCCACGGAGCACCGGCAGCATTGCAAACCCGGACTGCGTGGCTGTGATGCAGAACGGCACCGCACGGCCGGGCTGCAAAGCGGCACCACGATGCAAACTGCCGTAGGGCTGCAGCCTGGCCCCGGTTGCAAAGCAGTGCAGGGGTTGCAGCGTGTCCGTGCTGCAGAGCAGTTCCTGCAGGCAGCACAGCTCTGTGCCGCCGCCGCTGCGCCGCGATCCCGGCTGTGGGTTAATCCATACATACATCAGAAGGGCAAAAATCGCAGCCCTGACGCCGCTCCGGCCGTGTGTTTCCCACCCTCAGCTCAGCCCGGGGGTGCTTCCCCCTCACCCCCTCACCCCCCCATCCCCATATCAATGTGGCTGACCCCCCCCGGCCCGTCTCACATCCAAAAGCAGCCGCCATCCGAAGCGCAGCTCCGCCACAACCGCGCGGCCCTCAGCGACGCCTTTCACCAAACAACGCCACAACATTATTTCTCCCCCCCGTTTTTTTTTTTTTTCCCCCTTTCCTTTAAACCCCCTTTCTCAGGGTTCCTTCCGAACCCCCCCAGCCCCGCTCAGCAGTGCCTCCTGGGAGCTGTAGTCCGACCCGGAGCCATTTGGGGAGCTCAGCTGCCCGCAGTGCCGGCGCTGCTCAGCCCCGCGCGGCGGCCGAACGGCTCCGGTGCCAACAGCGCCGAATATTTTTAGCTCTTTCTGTTGTTGGCTTTGGCTTCTTCTTTTTTTTTTTTTTTTTTTTTTCTCCTTTCTCCTTTCCCTCTCCCCCCCCCCTCTTCACCTCCTTTTTTTTTTTTTTTAATTTTTTTATTTTTTATATATAAAATAATAATAATAATAATTCGTGCCACGGTATTTTTAGCCCCAGCTCCGCGCTACGCCTCGCAGCACCGCTCTGCTTTCGGACTCCCAATGTATTTCCCTCCCCTCCCCAACCTCCGGGGCCGATCCGTGGCCGCGGCCACAAAGCGAAACCGCTCCGGAGGGGTCCATTCCGCGCCCCCCCTTCACCCGCAGCCCCCCCGGCGCGGCCCGGCCGTGCCCCCCGCCCTAATCCACGCACTAATTGTAATCCCATTACAGCAGAGCGAATTCGAGCCGGGCAGCAAAACGGCGACGGGGGCCGCGGCTCCGTGCCCCCCCCGCACCGCGCACAAAGCCGCGGCCGCGCTCCGCCGCATTCTTTTTCCACCGCCCATAACGGCGCCGTTGTTCTCCCCGCAGCACCCCGCACCCCTTTATAAAAAATTATTCTTTTTATTTTTCTTTTTTCCTCCCCGAATTTAATCTTTCCCCCGCTTTCCCCCCCCACCCTCAACGCAGCCGCTGACCTGAGTGCGTGGCCATGGAGATGGGCGCGGGGAAGAACTTGGCGGGCTGGAAGGGGCCGGGGGCCGCCGAGCCCGGGCCGCGCCCCGCACCGTGCCGCTGTCCGAGGCCGCCCCGCTCCGGCAGCAGCCGCGGGGCGGGCGCGAAGTCGCGGCCGTCCATGGCGGGGCCGGGCCGGGGCTCTCAGCGCCGCTCCGGGCCGGGCCGGGCGTTGCGGGGCCGCGCAGCGCAGGGCCGGGGCTGCGGGCTCATGGTGCTGCGCTCCTGGGGAACGAGAGAGAAAGCAGAGCGTGAGCGCGGCCTGCCCGCACCGCCACCCGCATCCCGCCGCCGGATTTCCCCGCAGCCCGGAGCCGCCGATATCCCCGCCGCTCCCGGCGCGCGGCTCCGCGTTTCCCCGCCGCTCCGCCGCACGATTCCGCCGCTCGTTCCGCCGCTCCCGGCGCGCCGTTCCCCGCTTCTCCCGATCCGCGATCCCGGCGCTGCGCGGTCCGTAATTTCCCCGAATCTCCGGCGCTCCGCGGAACCGATTTTCCTTCCCCTCCCGCTTCCCGGCCCCCGTTTCCCCTCTCCCCGCCGCACCACCCCTCGTTTTTTCCGCTACTCCCGCCGCGTTCTCCCCGTTCTCCAGCCGTTCCCCGACACGAACCGCCCCGCCGTCCCCGCTCCCCGGTGCGCCGCTCGGCGCGGCCGCGTTCCCCCGAGCCCCGCATCCCCGCCGCGCCGTCCCCGGCTCTATCAGCCCTCCTTCGGGCCGGTCTTTCCCGTTCTCTCGGCGCCCGCCGCTCGGAGGCCGCACAAAGCGCCGGGGCCCGTCGGGGCCGTGCATTGTTCTCGGCGGCGGCGGTCGGGCCGATCCCGCGGGGTGGCGGCACCGGGGCCGGGCGGGCGGCGGCGAACAAAGAGGGAGAGCGGAGCGGAGCGCGGAGCCGGGACCCCGCGGCCCCTCCCGAGCGCGAACGGCCGCGGGGCGCTCGGCGGGGGAGAAGGGAGCGAGCGGAAAAATGTGTATTTAAAAATAACAACCATCATCACACGGACGAAATTAAAAAAAAAAAAAAAATCCCA